TCCATGGTCTTAATCTCTCGTAACTCTTTTTCTTCTTTCTTTCCTCATAGACATCTCCTTCCTGATCATCTTCTTTACTATAGAACTTTAGCCCCCCAACTTACTTGTTTCTATGATGTTCCTGACTGCGACCCATCTCGATTTCAACATTTTATATTATCACCCTGAGCCTTCTCCTTCCAAATAAGATTTTTTGTTGTCTTCATGATGCATATACAAGTTTTCAACAATAGCAATATTATTAATTTCCATAATAGAAAAAAACGTCTTCATGCCTTTATTTATTTCACCTCAATCTTGCCATGTTTGAGAAACTTTTTATTATCGCTATCATTATCTTAAAAAATAAGCATTTATGTTTGAGGCCATACAGCTTTGAAAAAGAATTCTTCAAAAAGATAACTCTTCAATGAATGGGTTTATTCCGTTTACTGAGATAAAAAACTAACATCTCGTTGAGAAACATTCTTCATGAGGACCCCAACTCATTCATCTTTTGGTCCCTACTGTATCACATTTTTCACTGATACAGCAGTTGTTACACAGTTTTCTGATGAGATTCTTTATAATCTGTTACGTGGTCACAATTTTGCTCTAGACACTAGCACCTGCACCAAACCATTGACATACATTAACTGTGCTATCCGTACAATTTATTACCAGCCGTCTTTTTACCGGAGAAAATTATAAACACCAGCTGTGTTTGTGGGTATCAGTGCCAAGGTTGGACTAAGTAGTTTCAAATAAATTGAGTATTAGGTTATGTATTTATTCTGAAGAAGTGGCTTAAACTAAGTTACGAAGCGTCAGTAAGACAATTTGTCACCAGATATGCTTCTTTGAGGTAGAATACCGAACAGCATTTTTAATTCTGCTAATCCTAACTGCTTACTCTTCGAACCTTATCGATTTTCTGGTAACAAATCTTTTCCTTATACAAAACGCATAGAACAACTGGTTAGGAACAATTGCGCCAGCTGACATCCGGTAGTTAGTGAATAAGGTTTTCTCTCAAGAATTTGCGAGACATATTTTTCCAACTTTTAGTAAATATAAGTGTTGTAGTACTAAAGGAATGACTTTGATTAGAAGAAATCTCCTGAATTTTCATAATTACTTTACAGATTAAACCATAATTTCAAATAAATCCATTATATTTTCAATATTGCTTTTATCAATGTGAATTAATTCAATATAGACACAAATATCCTCAAAGCGATCATTGAATCGCTTATTAGGACTCGTCAATATATGATATTTTTTACAATAAAAACTGTCCGACTTGCTTTATTTATTTTCGGATATTAAAGATTCCCACTGTGAAAATTGGAACAATACATATAAGCGAGCAATTGTTTTCAATAAGATCGTCATCAGACTTTACTCTAATATACATGAATATTGATATGAAAATATTAAACCAATCAAGGCTATTTGGGTCAATAATCACAATGAAATAGAATAGGTCAATCTTAACTTTCAGTTTGGCCATTATGTGTGAAGTTTATCATAATTTCAGTAGTTAATGAATGTATAAATGAAAGCGCAAGGTCACTTGTTTGACTTTGGTGGCCTGCTTGAATATCTGGGCTACCTGTTCCTGCCATCTAAATATTTCAACAAGTCATCTCTTTTTTTGCTTTAAAACATCTTTACGTCTAATAATCGCATAACCTATTCAGGTGCATTTATGAGAAGTTTGCGACCTATCACCTTACAAGTTACAAAACTGTACAGTCAGAGAGATCATGGTGGATGGTAATATGCATTGAAAAGAATAAACATTATTCAAATGTTGATTCCTGAACTACTAACATGTAACTTGCAATGACTTAATATTCATCGTCAGGATCGATCAAGAAATAATAATAATAATAATAATAATAATAATAATAATAATAATAATAATAATAATAATAATAATAATAATAAATATTAAGCTAGAAAGGTATTCACTTTTTGTTTCAGTTTCGTGTTAAGCTAACAAAAGAAATTAAATCGAACTTAATTACGATCATTAGAAAATTTCAATAAATAAAACTAATTAACCATGAACTATATGATAAAGAATATCAACTCTTATGAGAAGAGATGGATGGTGCTAACAGAGGGATTTAGGAAGCGGATCTCATCCTATTTAGGGCTCATCAGTCGGATATACCTTGATCGCAGAGTTGATGTTTACTCTGGAGCTTGTACTCAGTGCCATTCATTATAAACCACCACGTTGTCTACTTAGTTACTGAATTTAGATAGCCACCACCTTGTGCAATCAGGTGAAGTTTAATACATCTTTTACTGATTGTTTGGATCTTCACATTGATGTTTAGGACTGCATTGGTATATGTGCATCTTGTGTGGATTGCCTCATTATTATCATTAAGTCACAATCACTATAAGTCGTTATGAATTAACTGTTTCTTTAACCATTAATAAGATTTTCTTTTTTTTGTCAAGTTACCTATCTGCTAATTAAACTAATATCAAAATCAATGAGACGTTTGTAAAGCAGCAAAATAAATGATCATATATATTACTAGAAATCAGCAAAACTATAGAACTCAACTATTTAGTTTTGCTTTAGTTAAAGCAACTAATCAATTGATTTTGTGAATTAAATACATAAACTGAATTATTGATTAATTGATGTTAACTAATCCCCGTTCAATACATTCAACTTTAATTACTGTGCAGATATTTAAAACTAATATATTATAGCAACTATTCTATAATCTTATGATTTTGGTTAAGCCTTTTTATTAACTTAACAGACAATGTTATTTGAACAATAACAATCCTCATATTTCTTTATACTATTATGATCACCAGATCACATGACAGACTCGAACTAAAATGTTGATCGGTTAGATATCATTCGATGACTCATCCTCCTCCCCATGTATGTATATGTACTCAAATCATATTATTAGCTATTACTTTGTCTTGGTGCGCCCTTATGCAGTTTGACTATGAATTTGCTTATTTAATTGCTGGTATGTACTTATTCGCCTCTCCGCTTCAAATTCGCTCGATCTGCTTATAGCTATATGGTCTGCGCTATCCGCTAATAAACTGTAGTTGCCGCCTCTCATTGCCTTCTGATTTTAAACACCGTTGAGATTTATATTATAACGGTTATCGGGTTGATCGATTAGCGAAGCGAAGCCACTATTATACATATATGGTCATGGTATTGTAGTAAATGAGGACCCAATTGGGGATAACGGAATATACTTGAATACAAAATTACAGAATTTCTCATTAAATCTGGGAACCATACAGTAAATACCTCATTTGCAGAATGTCCATCAATTGTCTTAGACTTTATTGTCCCTTTATTTCTATACCAACCACTCTCTGTTCTCATTTTCTTCTCTTCGACCTTCTGCCGCCAGGCATTCCACTTTCGGTTGGTGATGATACATACCACTTACATCTGTCAACACCACTAGCACACACCACAGTATGAATTAATAAAAATCAATCTTCTTTAAAGCCCATTTCTCTCTGTGTTCATTTGTCCAAAACTCCAATAAACATGCTTAATCTACTGGTGTAGGTAACACTCTTTCGACGAAAGAAGGAACCATGCCATGTTAGAACTACAAACTACAATTAAGATTGTATTCGTTGTGTTGCATTATCTCCCAAATGTTTCACTTTGTGTAGTCAACATCTATGTTTTAATTTAACGAAATGACTGTTTTATAGATTTTTATAATCATTTGTTAAATATATTCAAAGTATTGTTGTCTTGCTATTGGCCTACGATGGGACGGATTTAGGGACGGAAACGACTGAGCGGTGAGACTATAATTCATGGACGATCTTTGGGCGACGTCAAAGTGGCCTTGAGAGTGTCCACCTACTTGTTAGGGCTACATGGGAGTTATAAACCTGTGTGAAGAATAAGGAATGTGACTTACAGTTGATAGTTAGGGTTAGGAATTATATTTGGTTTTCATCACGAACTGACATCAACTGAAATCCCAAAATAATCTTTAACCAAATGGTTGGATGAATTTCGCGCCAAAATCCAAGAGTTGTTATCCTAAACCTGATTGATTCGACCATAAATTATAGTCTCGCCGATTGAGCTATTCTAATACGGTCAGTTCTCCCCAGAACGGACAACAATAAATTATACTCGATAAACCAAACCTCAACGGCTAAGACAGGAAGAAGATGGAATTGCAAGCAACTTGATATTTGTGGTAGAACAAGCAACTCAATGAAACTGGTACAAGAGTTGTTGCTGTAGTAGCAGAACATGACAGCCAATCAGAGGGCAAAGATCGTGCGGAAAATCAAAATGGCAGAAAGTATGCCAGCGGTTATCGTTCTAGAGATTTTAGCCTTTCTAATAGAATTTGACTATTCTTGCGACCACCTTAGCAAGTATATATTTGCAAATAACTAACCTAAATAAGTGAAGTAGAAGATTCAGTTATAATGGAGTTTTTTTTATTAAAAGAAGACTCTATATTGACGTCATAAGAATTAAACTGTCTTCTGCCAAAAATGTGTTCGGCAACACCTAGATAAATAGGCTCTAAGATTTAGTTGAACATTACAAGAGTATTTTGGTTAGCATATTAATATAATGGCTGTTCACCACATACATTTGGATAGTAGTTTAGTAGGAAGACTATTCAGTTATCATATTGAATATCTGAGACACCCAAGTCTATGTATTTCTCAATCTACATGTTACATTCTACACTGATTAAACGAATTTATTAAAGAGTTTAATATGCTGCCACTTAAATAACCTTGTCGAAACAAACTATCCATATAGACAAAGACTTGTTTAATTTAAAAGTAATGGTCTTTAGATGTAATAAATCTTCCGATCAGAAGAGTATTTAACTATTACCTCAAGCGATCCCGACTACTTAGTACCGAAACTTCAATAAAACGAATTATCGATCATGTACAGAATTACACAATAAAAAAGCTCTATAAACTATGATATCTCATGCAGAACAGATTATAGTCTCATAAAATGTTACCAATCAAGTTTAGGATATAAAGATGTATGTCTAAATCCCAGCGAACTATAGAAAACTCGAATGTTAACATTTTAAGTAAAACAATATCAAACCCTAGTAAACAAAAGAAAACTTTTCAATATTGTTTATAATGCGACAACGATCGAGGTTGAGCAAGACAAAAGTTATAACGAAGACAACAACAATAACCATCTAACAAATGTATTTTACTAGATATAAATAATTTTTCATGGGATAACAAGATAAATGGGATCAAATTGAAATAATAATGATAACAATAAATTGGAACAAACAATTCGTCTATTAAGTACTGAATTCATACAATTTTTTTACATCCTCCTTATTTCAATGGATTGTATTGTATTAGCTTTCATCATGAAATAGATCAATAACTATCGTAGAAAAAGACAGTAACATCACAAATTGACATCGTGTTAGAAATGATTTGAAATAGACCAACAAAAACTAATATTGCTTTGAATAATAGGCACAAATCCAAACATATGTATACATTAGAATGCAAAAAAAACTGAGCACTATTAATAAGTAATGGTTGCTGACATAAACTTCTTGAAATGTACAGAATTAATTTAACTAGAGTGAAATAAATAAATTGAGAATATAGAATATACTAATGTATTTATTGAAATGTGTTCACGTGGGAAATTAGCCAGCATAGACAAAAAAAACACCAAGAAGAATAAAAAATAAATCTGAGCACGATAAATAAAAGTAAACATAACTGAACTGAATTATCTTCTGTCAATCATACAAATCATTCTCCTATAATCCAAGCTGATCATCATTACGATCGTCAATCACTGACTGTTTAGACAGGAGATAATAATAATAACGGTATTTTACTCATAACAAAATCTGAATAAAATAGATATTTGTGTCTGTGGTATATGTGCTTTGGAATACACATCCATAAACAATAGCTATTGTTATTATAAGAGTGGGATGACGAAACAGATCATGAAACGACTGACGAAACAGGAGATACAACTCTATGATATTCTGGTGGGGAATGACCAAGTACAGCACCCTCAGTAAGAACTACAGTTGATATATCCGATCCTGGAACATCGTAACGTGGCTGCAAGAGTAGATTTTCCTATAGAATAAAACCAAACAACAACAAAAAGTCGAATCAAATTCACTTGTTAACATCAGTGTATAAATTAACAAAGAAAGTATTTAGTTAGATACCCTCGCCTTTGTTTACCATAACTTTTGTCCATAAATCTTATTTTCACTTACCTGTTCTTTCTCTTCTTATCCTTTCCGATTTCATTCATGTCTATAAAAATGGTTCTAATTTAATATACTTTATTATTTATATTACTACAAAGATTATGTAAAGTAGATAGATTGTAGCTAGCAACATTGGAATCTAGATATTTCATTCTACTTGAGACTGGTAAGCTGAATGTACCTGGATCCTAGTATCGATATCCACAATGGATTTTAGTATCAGTGTGCCTTGAGTTTCAAAAACCCAACACGTTTATCCATGAACAATTGAGTCCACATAATCAATATCATTTTTTTCAATAGATATGAGTTAAATTCAATTTGTAAGTGGTTTAAAATATCTCAAATTACTGATATTCTCCTTACAGAATGAATATATAATACAAACTAATACTGATCAAAATTTAGTTGAGAATATCAACAAAAGAATAATTAAAATGTTAATAAATTGGATTATTACAAAAGTTGTTTTTATCCTTCATCTACTTAATTACCATTTACTTTATGTATCACTTTCATATTTCAATTTAACTATATTCACAGTTTATACATTTTACTCTATTGATACGATATTTCACGCGTTCCATAAACAAGTACACTGATATCAATAACGTATGAAAGAACAATACAAATTAATTCAGTCAACAATATTTGATAATGTGAATAAAAACGAATTATATTTAAAATAGTTATTATAATATTAATATCATTGTAAAATACTAAATCACTATAGCTTCAATGAAAATTAGATTAATTTGAATTAGGTCTAATTAATTCTTGTATGGAATGTAAAAATTATAAAGATTTAATAAAACGTCAATATATACACCTTTTAAGAATCATTCTCTCATTTACACTGGAACTAATAAAATTAACAGTAATGCGTGTAAGTTATCCATGAAAACCACATGCAAGGATCAATACGATTAGGGTGTGAATTATCAGGCAGATTAAGTAATCTTGACTAAAGTGAATTACAAGCTAACAACACTTTGAAAATACAAAATTAAACTACCGAATGTCCTATAACTGGTTTTAACTGTATAAAGAAGTTTAAGTTTCAGTTGGTAAGACAGTTTAATTCGATAGCTAACAGCTTAGATTTATTTACTACAAAATTAGTAGCAGTAACATCAATGCAGATATTTCTCATGTCATGTTAGAAGCAACGACAATCAAATTATACTAATTATTTTTTAAAGTATTGTTAAAAATTGTTTTCCTTGTGGGTGTTTTGTTTACTGATTCAACAACAATGTTAACCGGTCGGTCATTATCTCCACTATATATGTATAGTAACTTGAATTGAAGAACCAATGTTGTTAATAAGGAGTTAAATGTTGGAAAAGATGGAAATCTCGAAAAAAGAATTTGGATTGTTATTTAGACTTTCATTAGGTAATTAGTAGATAACCGCTTTTTTAGCATTTCTATAATACCCTTATTGTAGGCTCGCAGTGAACCTACTAACTGACGCATTATGTGTCTTACTATTCACTTATTGCTAATTATGTCCTGTTTACTCTGCTCTCCTCTACTTACGGGATGGTTGTGTATAGAGTATGATTTCCTATTTGGTGTGTTGTATTCAGCGATTTCAAGCATATTATTGTATGCGTATTGAGTTACAATGAAATCAAGTATAGAATAGAAGTTGGCTACTGACTTGTCTTAGGACTCAAGACAAAGAATGGGGAAAGATTTGAGTAAAGAGGACTGATAGAAATTTATGTTGCGTCACATCATGGTTGACGATGCAGATCAGAAGTGCAATTGGTCAAGTCTAAGACACTAAGGCTATAGAAGAAATAGTAGATATGATCGGAATTCTAATTAGTAACTTTAACACATGATGCCAATCAGAGATTTCAAGTTATAACTAAAACAATGAAATCATATTTTTTCTTTGTTTTCCATAAACATCGTACATTTTTTAAAATAATATAATATAATCATTGAAGTGATAAAGTTTCATCAAAAGGTATGGTAAATTGATAACATAAAATAAGCTCATTCATTTGGCTTAGAAACAATTTCATAATACTGAATCGATGGCTCAACAGAATCAAAGTAAATAAATATTTTGATTTTACTCAATAACGAAAAGGCAACTACTTATTTATCAAGTACTGATTTATGTACTCAGATTTCTGGGGATATTTTATATGTGAGAACCAATGACATTAGTCGACTTCTGATGTTGACACAATATGGTATGGGTTTCGAAAATGTGGCTTAGTGATTGCGAGATGAACAGTTTCACCACTAGACACCGCCGTTTAGTAATCAAATCCAAGTCAGTGTACATTTACTATTCTAGGTATAATGAAGATATATAGTTGTTAAGATGGACATATAAGTAGCAAAGTTTGAGTTGTTAATAAGTCAATCATTAAAACTTAAACTGGATAATTTTTGAGTCACAGTTCCGTACAATTTATTATATGAAACCTCATATTCCAACTACTAACATTATCACAAGAATTTTAACTCGTTATATATAATAAATAACAATAATTTATGTGGAAGTTATTCTGGTAACTAAATGATTCAGTAAATTTCTGCTAGGATCTGATGATAAGATAGAATATCGGAAATAAGATAAAATGGAACACAAAAATTGAATAAAAGTTTGATTTCAAGGGTTCTATTTAAATTTAAAATTCAGTAATAATTCCTCATTGAGTTTCATCCATGTTTATTCGACATGGTGATTAAATCCACTAAATTATTATTTCTTGTTTCATATCTCTACAAACAACTAAACAAGCAAAATATCATTCTCTATAAACCCATTCTAAGTCTATTTATTATCGACTAGGTCATATAAAGGACATTTAGATAGATAGACATATAAATGCACACATAGACACACCCAAACAAATTTCTCTTAGAGCTAACAGGAATACAATATTCAAGGTCGAATCATTGTAAAAAAAATATGATCGTTAAAAGGACACTGTGACCTTAAACTCACCAACTCAGAAATAAAAACTGATAGGAATCATACCGACATATAATTTAACCAACTTAAACAACAATGCAAACATATTTGGGATGGTATTCTCTCCCTCCAAAAGTAAAATAATGCTTAAAGATTGACTTGATAGGGAGTCAAGTAGTTGGACGCTTCACCTGATGATTTGGTGTCTAACGAAATCTTGGCACGATTTCAGAGGGCTGGATTGACTTTTGTCAACTTGTTGCTTAGGCGAGATATCCATCTGCCAAACAAAGGACGAGTTCACGGCGCAGCAGTTCGTCCCGTTCTACATTATAACTGTGAAGTATAACCATTAAGGATAGAGGATACATGTGGGTTACTGGTATTCGACCATAGGTGTCTTCGAAGCATTGCTCGAGTATTTTGGGACCACAGAGTGAGCCATACCTAGATTAGAAATAGAGTACTAAGTAAAGATGGGAGATCAATCGATGAAGTAGTAAATCTTCATCAACTGAGATGATTTGGACATACGTTACGCATGCCCAACCACTGACTACCTCGACGAGGGATGTTGTTTCGTATAAGAGTGGGTTGGAAGGAAGCTACCGGCAGCCAAACCGAAATATCACCAATCCACGAATTCATTGACAGTTTATCTGAACCACGTTGTCCCATGATTAACGTAACCGGTGGTTAGAGACCATGAGTGACATGGCTGAAAACCGTTTGCAATGGCAAATATACATCCATTCTTTATCTTCCTTCAAATTCTTAGTTTCTGAATTCCCCATAACATTTTCTTATGAATTTATGTTTTCTTGAATCATATTTTCGATCCCTAATCTTTGATGTTATTATCACGAATACTGTTACTACTTTTACAACTCTAGGATTTGGACTAACAATTTCATCTCACCGTACTAATGGGGTATGGCAACTTAAGCCGATATACATACATACCAGGTTCTACGTTGAGACTGACTGAATTGGATACATTCGTACAATTTCACTTTACCTACAAATAACTGACTTGATCGTTTTACGTGAGAGAATGGCGATGAAGTTCATACACATTAGGACCACAATTAGAAAAACAATTTTTTTCAATTGTAACACTTGAAGTTAATAAATAACAATTATAGCTTATTCATAGCTACCACCATCGTCTAAAATAGCAATTAATAACTTTTTTGGATTGATATAACCAATTGTGACTTATCTGATCATTTCTCAAATTATTAATAAACCAAAACAATGTAGTGAAACGAAGTTGTTCATCAAATAGTAAGTTCACTACATATCTTGAAAACCTTTAACAAATAAATCACTTTAATATCTTTGGAATAACTCCGCCTATAACTCTTCTAGGGTTACCGCCGGTCCCATGCCCGGGTGAAGGAGAGTTGAGCATGGGGTCAGCAACCCCATCTGCCTAAAAATCACTAACTAAAATAAACCATCTATCCTTGAACTGATATATCTCAATAAAATAATATTTGTTGACATAAAATTATTAAAAATAGAAGTGATTTGTTCTCATTTTATGACATCAATGTACAAAAGTCAAAGCGATAAGAAAAAACACAACAGTACATGGATTTACATTAAATTCATAGCCGTTACAAATTTGTAGATATGCTATAAGGATGGTTTTTATATGTGAAGTTGTTCTATGCTCAATTTACACATACAACAACACAATAAAACAAAATGCAGATTTTAATCGATGTATTGATTATAGAAAATTTGTTTACCTTTGTAATATTATTATTTGATTTCGTATAAACAATCGATTTAGTTGTTAAACTGTAGGGCTAAAATATGTCAAGGCCGTATTCTAAGCTCATCCCTGCATATATTATAATTCTCAAGCGAATTTCTACCTAGATATATATAATAAATGCTTAAATTTATTGCCGATAAATTCTGCATGGATTAAAACAATGCCAATTTTTATATTGTATAAAGTATGAACACTTCCATTTATTCAAAACTTATTATTTGATCATAAGTCAGATGACGTTGTCCAAAACTGGATTTTTATTTCTACAAATAACTATGAAAATATAAAGTTCCTTGATTAAAATAAAATCATCATTAACTTACTAGATAGAGAAAAAACATCACCTGATTGGTGAATTGAAAAACTGCGAGATAACATATTAGTACACATTAATAGTACAAATATTTTCAGATTGAGGGAATATACTATGCAAAAACAAATTATTTTTTCACTAATTTGGAAAATAGGATAAAAGTTCAGTACGAAATTATTTCTTTAAAGAAAATGACAATATTCACGCATAAAGTCTACTGTTAAGAAACACTTAGAAGAGTATGGATAGGGGATATTGGAGAATTATACTATTAAAAGCCTTGGACAGAATGTGATGGCTTTAGACAATCTATATGATCACATGAAAAAAATGAGTTCCAAATGCAGAGAGAACTATAAGAATATAGGCATAAATTGTCTGGTTTGGAACCGTAGGAACGGTATTCATATGATTAAACTAAATTCATTAAATTACAAATTTAAATTCGATTCAACTATATTTGTAGCTGATACTCAGTTAACAAGTTAGCTCATAAATGACGTAACAGTTGTCAAATTTCGTACAAGTACACGTTTATGTACTTGACTGAGCCATAGTCTAAATGTGTGAGCAGTAATGATGGCTTCCGGTTGTCCAAACCGAAGTATATGAAGCAGGATTGGAACTCCCGACTTATTGTATGAAGTCCGACTATCTTAAAAAAAACATGGGCTCTACTGTCTATTTAATATATCGACAGGAAACCAGAAGTCAAAAGGAAAATACTACCAATAGTACTAGTAATGAACAAAGCAAATACACTTGTCCAAGAGAAATAGATGAAAAGCTTAAGGTTTGCTACAGCTAAATGTTTGAGAGAAGTTCTCTCTACAACTTATTGATTTTTGTACCAACCCGCGATCGTATATTAGGACAATACAGGATTCGTTTCTATTATGAATAATCTTTCAAGTCTCAATCACTAAGAATACATTTTTGCCCACATATCAGGAAAAATTCAGTTTTTCATAATAACAGTCGAAACAAAAACATTGAAATTGGATGTTTACTTTATCGAAATTATTGAGTATCCGACGGAATATTATTGTAATAAGTGCACACAATAGTAGGTTGTGAATTTCATGTATGTGGGTAGCTACATAAATACTCGTGACATGGCCCAGAATCGATCACAATAGCGTAGGTGTATACACTCTGTCTTCCCTTAAACCGTGAGATTAAAATTGCTTTATAGCTTTCTACGAACTAATTCTTTCTTCCTGTATTATACCCTTATACACAATCTTTTAAATATTACTACCATTGAAGTAACTACTTATATGAATTTGGTGTTCAACTTGTTGCGCAAATGAGGTGAGACAACTTGGACCGATGCATATATGTGTGTGGTCCTACGTTGTAGCTGACTGACTAGTCCGGCTGTAAAACGTCAGATCTATAACGCATCGGTAAGAGCAGTTTTGCTTTATGCTTGTGAAACCTGGCCTCTCCAAGTCGAGGATGTTGAACGACTATCTGCTTAATCATCGTTGTCTTCGAAGGCCCGCTTACGTTCAACGGCAACACCATGTTAGTAATGCTGAGGCTCAGCATCGTATTTGAGCACAGTGACGACAACTCAATCAGTGTCACTATCTTGAAACGTCGACTTTGATGGCTTAGACATGTCCTATAAATGTTGTACCAGCGAGTCCTACATTGTGCATAAATGCCGATGATGTAACTGGTTGAAAAAAAGCGGAGAGATGGTCAGTGCACGATATGGTGTCGTGGTATGAAGGAAAGTTGCACAGGACTGGCTTCTGTTCGTTCTTCATGACTACCTGGTTAGGGTCCTAGAGATAGCGTAACACAGTAACTTGAGACGCTATCAGAAATCGCTTATAATAAAAGATAATGGCGAACCTACTGTAAATTCCTCCATAAAAGTGAACGTAACTTTTTTAACTGAAAGGATTCTTTCTGGTTGTATTTTTCCTGACTGAAATACTCCCAATATTATTATTATTATTATTATTATTATTATTATTATTATTATTATTATATCACTATTCACTCACAATAATTTCTGTTCATCTTTGTCCTATTTTGATTATACTCACCTTCCTTTCTCCATAACTTCACAACCTCCTTTTATTGTGTGGCACATATATATTTGGTGTCACTTGTACCAATTTTTATTTGTTCAAATAAATAAAATTAGTTTATTATTGTTTCGCTTTATTCAAATGCTTGAATCTATGAAATTACAAAAGTATTTTCATTTGTTTAAGGAACAATGAAGTTGATGAATTTCTACAAAGTTTAATGGTCCAGAGATCAATCAGTATCGTGGCAAGTGATTCTACAATAATGTCGGAGATATTAGATCCCCAGAAATCACTTGGTTAACGTCTCATTTTTGTAATTTTATTCTAGAAATTTGAATTTAAACCAAATGAGAAATACAATCGGAAGGTAAAAATAGGCTCTATCGGCGGAGAAAACTAAAAATTCAAATTTCTAGAATAAAATTACAAAAATGAGACGTTACCCAGTGATTTCTGGGGATCTAACATTCTCAACAAATGATACCTTCTATAATTTATGAATAAATAATATAATTAAACTGGAAGTGAATAGGTCAGACATAAATTCATGTAGCTTCATACATTTAGCCGATGACTTTTATTACATTCAGTCAGTCAGTCAGTAACAACGTAGAACTTCGTACGTACGTACATCAGTTCGAGTTGCCACACCACATTAGCACAGAGATGCAGTTGTCGATTCAAATCCCGTAGTGGTAGAGGTAATAAGAGTATAAGCAGTAATCGGGAAGATTAGGGTTTGGAGATGTTATTTAAAGAGTATAATCCAGTGAAATAAATTTGGAAAGAGGAAAAAAGGGACATGAAGAATTCAGAAGATTAGAATTTGGGAGAACACAGAGAGTGGATGCACCTGCGCCATTGCAAACGATTTTGAGCCATGTCATTCAGGGTCTCTAACCATCGGTTGCTATCATCTCGCGGTCCCCAACCAGGTAGTCTACACCTACCAACATGACTCAGTTCACTTGTCAGTGACTTCATGGACTTGTGCCATGTTTTGGTTTGGCCGCCCCTAGCTTTCTTCCAACCTACTCCTATACCACTGAACATAGCACGTCGAGGCAGTCGGTCGTTGGGCATACGTAACACGTGTCCCAGCCATCTCAACTGATGAAGTTTCACTACTTCATCAATTGATTTGCCATCCTTACCTAGTACCCGTTTCCTAACAACTGTGTTACTTACTCGATGGTCCCATGATATACGAGCAATGTTTCGAAGACACCTATGATCAAATACTAGTAACCTACGGATATCCTCTACTCTTACCGGCCATGTTTCACTGCCATAAAGTAGGACGGAACGAACTGCTGCGCAGTAAACACGTCCTTTGGTTGATAGACGGATATCTCGCCTACGCCATAAATGACGCAAGTTGGCAAAAGCTAGTCGAGCCTTCTGTATCCGTGCTGAGATTTCGTCACACACTAAACCACAAGGGCTGATGAGACTTCCAAGATAAGTGAAGCGGTCGACACACTCAACTACTTCACTCCCTATCACTAGTTCGGGTGTCGATGTAACCCAATCCTGAAGCAACATTTTGCATTTCGAGGGAGAGAATCGCATCCCGAACATGCTTGCATTGTTGCTTAGAGTGGTCAGAAGACTCTGCATTTTGTCAGCGTCTTCACCAAATAAAACTATGTCATCAGCATATTCTAAGTCAACAAGTGAACCTCCCGGTAGAAGTTCAACCCCTGTAAATTTAGATGAGGAGAGTGTTATCTCTAAAAGTACGTCGACAAAGTTGAACAAGAATGGGGAGAGTGGACAGCCCTGACGAACACCACTTGAGGTAATCAATTCTGATGACAGTTCGCCATAAGCTCTCACTCGACCAGTTGTGTTCGAGTAGAGAGCCTTTATAAGGTTAATGTACTTCTTTGGTACTCCTTTCAGTGACAAACACTGCCATAGAACCTCACGATCAACAGAGTCGAATGCCGCCTTAAGGTCGAGAAATACTACCATTGTGGGGCGTCTGAATGTGTGTCTGTGTTCTAGAACCTGACGTAGTGTGAATATCTGATCTATACAACCACGTCCAGGTCGAAAACCAGCCTGGTTTTCTCTAGTCTGCTCTTCACGAGCTTTGTTAGGCGTCGAAGTATTATTGAAGCTAATATTTTAGACACTATATTAGTCAAACTGATTCCTCTGTGATTGTCACAAGAGGACTTTTGTCCTTTCTTATAGACTGGCACAATCAGTGATTGAGACCAGTCAGATGGGATTACGTCCAGTTCCCAAATTCTACCTAAGACCTCAGTTAATCTCATTGCTAATACTGGACCACCATCCTTAAAAATCTCAGGAGTAAACCTGTCAGGGCCTGCTGCTCTCCCTCGTTTCAGATTTCCTATGGCTTTTTCAACTTCGTAAAGGGACGGAGGACCTACATTAACTTGCCATTCAGGTTGACTAGAGATCGTGGGAAACCGAAGTGTGGCTGAAGGCCAGTTGAACTGATCCCTAAAGTGTTCTGCCCATCGATCCAATCTCCTGGATTGAGAATGAATAATATGTCCATCTTTCTCTGAGATTGTTTCGCTAACGGTCGGGTTCCTAATTCCGGTTTCCTTAACGAGTCTGAACAATTGTCTGCTATTACCTATTGCCGCTGCCTTTTCCATCTCTCTTGCTTTCGCTACCCACCACTGTTCGCGATCATTGCGTAGACTTCTTGTCAGCTTGCGCTTAAGCTGACTCCGCTCTTCATTATGTTCAGAGCCAGGTGGAATGAGTTTCCGAGCATCTATCAGTGCGATAGATGCTGCTGAGATCCAGTGTTGCTCCCTAACCTTCTGGTTTACCTTACTAGCAGATATCACTGCTGTTTCCACAGCTTTTCGGATATCATTCCATGCTGCATCGGGGTGGGCATCACATACATGGCTGCCTAACTGTTTTCCTAGTTGTTCCTGAAATATACTCTTAGCTTGACTATCATTAAGTAGGCCCTAAGAGGTTTCCTTGCAGCGTCTTTCCTACGTCCAGTAAGACGCAAGCAAATACGCGCTCGCACTAGAGCATGATCTGAATCTAGGCATGTGCTCCAGAATGAGCGACAGTCTTCTATCGAGCCCCTCCATCGGTGGCTGATAGCGATGTGATCTATTTGGGTCCAACGTTGGGACGAATTAGGGGGTCGCCATGTTAAAAGATGTTTTTCCTTATGCTTAAAGTTAGTATTTGCAAGGAACAGGCGGTTATCTGAGCATAGCTGCAACAGACGGTCGCCATTATCTGTTCTTTGAGCCACGACACCATAAGATCCACCTAGGTGTCTTTCCCTATCGCTTAGTTTACCTACTTGAGCATTAAAGTCACCGGCCACTATTACTACATCCGAGCGCTTAGCTTTTCGGAGAAGGTCCGAAAGCTTTCTGTAAAACTCATCTTTTACATCATCTGAGCTGCAGTCAGTGGGAGAATAGGCAGAGACGACGAAGAGGCAACGACGAGTGTCCCTATCTTTCCGGATTCTTACTGTTCCGTTCAGTCGGACAGCGCACAAACGACTGTCTACTGGGATCCACTCTAAGAGAGCTAGTTCTGCCCTAGGACTCAATGCTATACCTACGCCGGCGAGGCCACGGGAAGCAGAATCAGGGCTTCCAGATACACGAAGCGTAAATCGAGTCGGTTCTTTATTTTGGCATGGTGAGGTCAAATGAATGACGCTACTCGGATCCTGTATGCGCGTTTCGGAGACGCAGCACACATCGATGGCGCGAGATTCTAAAGTTTTAGCTAAGGAAGCCTGCTGTCCTATTTGGCAAAGTGTTCGTACGTTAAAAGCTCCTACGTGTAGTTTAGAGCGTGGTTTCAGGAGACCAGGAATGGCGTTCCACGTACTCGAATCGTTTGCCCTAGCGGTGCGAGGTGATAAAGAGACGTGAGGAGGGTTAGTCATGGAGATAAGAGAGGTATTAGGAGGTGTAGGAAGGATTTGAATGTGACCACCTTGGTCTCTTGTGCTGTTACGGGTATGAGGGCTGATGTCACTTCCCGGCTGCCCACACCGTGGAAGGGTATTTCTTGAGGAACCTGAAAAGGAAATTGGATTAGTGTTGGTCTTGACGACCTGGGAGCGTGACCGCAGAGCCCAAGGGACAACTGCTTGAGGCCGGTCGCGCACGGCCTTTTTGTGGAAGGTTTTTGACGTGTTAGCTCCGTTCTTCAAAGGGCCTTACCGCCGGAGACGGAAATCCGTGAGGTAAGGTGAGGTGTGACATTTTTAGGGTCGACCTTTTCTAACCCCACCCCTCCTTGTGGGAAGGCAGCATCGCTGTCATGCTGGTTGTCCGAGGAAACACCTTACTGCTGTCACACCCTCTACAGTCAGCAGTACGACTTCGCCCTCAGACCTTGAGTTGCTGCTTTTAGTCTTACCGTTCCCAATCGACCTGCCTGGCATGGTAGAACCTACAGGAACATATGTTCCAGCCAATATAGCTCGGTTGGGTCATCACGATAGGCAAGCCCGACCACCGCGTCAAGGTAGCAGCTTCGGTCGGGTTTATTAGATTAAAAAGAATAAATAATGAAAGAACATTGTTCCATTGAGTTAGATTTCAATCAATCAATGCATAAAAAGACAAAGGAATGGTACCACTTTTTCCAACATTCTTTGTTGAAAAGCTCTTCTTTCTGAAATCGAATCGCAAGTCCGACAGATCGTTTCTACGACGCACGCCCTATATCAACTACTATCTATGCTCCTAACGCTTAATCAACTGAAGATAAAGAAAGACTGTGAGGGAATTGTGTTGCGACAGGTCGGATGAAAGTACTTAGATTTCACAAGTATTTGTAAATATAGACAGACTAACCCAGGCATAAACATATGTATAGTGAACTAGGTTAGATAAGTAATTTACTTATTTATTATGGCTCATCTATAGGTGCTTTTAGCTTGTTATGTAGCTTTGATGTGTGATTTTTCTGGCTTTGGTCATTCTGTCAGTGTGGACTATAACTAATAAGAAATATCAGTTCTTTGAATATAAGTTGTACAATGCAGTTAATTAGTCTGATAATTCAACATCAAAAGGGTTTGTGATGTTTGTTTTGTCCTAATGAAAATGAAGTTTCAGTCAGCGATATAGTGAATATCACGAAAATAAAACCTTTAGAAAAAATAAGCTACTGAAATGAGCATTCGGTCCGATTTTATCACTATTAATTATCCTCTATGTCAAGGAAGAAACGTTGTCACGACATTACTACTAGCACAAATGTCTAATAAATACAACCAACACTATCATGAAATAAACTGATCATAAAAGTAGAGCCATTGACATCAGTTGTATGATATAAGATCATTATTCGCATAATTATGTTTTGTTTAGAAACCCATAAGTATTCAAACTTATAAATACTACTATTATTTTATCTGCGTGATTATAATGACATTATTTTATTTTACTTAATGTAACACCAAACTATATGTAAATGTACTCAGTTTTAAGTAACATTGTATGAGACCTGATTAAATCGAATAGTGCAGGATTAGAATCTCAGACTTATTGGTTGAAAGTGTAATTGCTCTAAACACCTATACCAATGCTCTATGGACTGGGTGAAACATGAGAAAAGAGGGCATAGTTTAGCTGTTTAGTTCTATATGATGCTTAACCATACATCTAATTTTATTAACAATATATAATTTTGAGGAATAAGTATGAGAGGTGGGGTTATAATATGCACTTTAAAAACAAAAGTCCAATGAATATGTCAAATCAATTCAACATGTTTCTATTTTTGCTTGTATTTTCTAACAAACATTGTACAGCTAGGAAGAACACGCTAAAGTATTTTGATTTCTTAGAAGATATAAGCCCACCTCTGTCATATCCAAAGAAGATTAAATTATGGGTAACTTCTAGGAACTATTTATGGACTGTTATTATATGTACATATTCTTATTGTATAATTATCAAGTAACTAGATTACATATATTTATATTTCTCTTATAATAAGCTTTCATTTGACTTACTGGCTACTATTATACGATTCATTATTCTTAAATAATTTCCAATCTATTAGTTGCAGTCTCTCACACTCACAGACACTTTTGGCTCTATCTTGTCTAATTATTATTTTACATTTTATGGTGTGATGTGGTCTAGTCTGCTTGCATATAAACCAAGTATGTCTGAAGTATACGATTCATATAGCGGAGGCTGATATTTGTGTTCTGGACTGAACCAGGCTGGGTTAGGCGAGAACCTACCACACAGAGGACCCAGAGTTGACTCAAGGCTGGTTGTGATGTTTAACGCATTATTGGTTTGGCACACGGACAATGTCATATAAGTCGTTGTTCTGATTGGCGATCTTGTCACGTAATATTTGACGGGCCACAGAACATAACAACTTTCATTTAAAAACCAATTCTTTAACAATTATCGTTATCGAGAATCGTGGAAAAAAGCATAAAACATGACGAATACGAATGGTATACACAAACTAAATGTAAGTAGACAATCACTAAACAAGAAATAAAAATAACCAAAAAAACATAAGAAACATGTAATTACCAAGACTGAACGAAGACCTCGAGCTCCTGTATGTTGACTTAATGCCAGTCGAGCAATAGCTTTTAGAGCATCAGGAGTGACTCTCAGTTCACACTAAGAATCAGAACAAAAAAAAAAAATAGAAAGGCAGAGAAGACGATCAGAATAGAGAAACAAAATAGATTAGAAAATGGTATCAACTAACTGAAATGGCGTACAAGATATTTAAATAAGTTATCTGAGGAGCCAATGCTATTCTTCAGACATGATCGTAATCTCTGGTCTCACGAATCGTTTACTATCTCTCGTAACTTCTCCTGTTAGACCGACTTAGTCCTATTTCCCTGGCGTTGATGATACTTCAATTTTAAATTTATCTTATTATGAATCCCTACTCAGTGATCTAGAGGTTAGGCGTTTGTAGGCAGGACTGAAGGTCATGGGTTCGATTCCAAGTTGGAGGGTTGTGTATACGGATTTCCAGGGAGTCCCATACTAAGACGAAATGGCCACTCACTACTTTCAGGTTTTCAATGGTTGTCTTAGATAGGTTCATGATTTCAATGAAATTCAGCAATCTCTACAACCCCATACTGAAAATCATCATGTTGACTAACCTACTTCCAGTTATTAAACATTATCTATCTTCTGTGACGCTTACGATCAATTTCTCCGGCTCTATAACAACTGCCCCCGAATGCCCTGGTACGGCCGAGAGTGGGGAGAGCCCGCTCTCCCTCTCGAAATACTCTCACACGGCCACGCGTATACAGCCTCTGCCAGAGAAGTCCTACTCATTGCCTTCTCGTGGCGGGGGTGTTGTTTACGAAAATGAGAGGACGAAAAGCGAATGTCCGGCGCTTTAACCGGATCCCAAACCAATGGTGCACATGGGCTCCAGTATCCTGTGGGAACAAATGGCGTATGAACCAATCGTTGGTCACCGGCTTGTTATGATTGCCAAAATCCCCGTCGCCAATTGTTATGACCTTGGATGTCTGACTTTTCGATCACACGACTTATCTACCAATCCGAATACGACTTATACGAATCTCCACACTAGGCCAACCAATGACGTTCAACCGGTGTGGGCAGTTTAGAGTCCTTATTGGTCCTATGTCCTACGAGCCCTTCCACTTGAGTCCAGAACAAGATACCAGCTTCCGAATCAGAGCAGATCAGACCAGAATCATTTATTTCAGACATACGCGGTTTATATATCAATCACACACCGCAACGTACCATAAAATAGGAAATAATATTTTTACACAAATAAGCCAAAAGTGGCTGTGAATGTGGGAGGCAGTAGTTAATAAACTGAACATAACTTAAGAACCGTAAATCGTACAATAATGAATTATAGGTCAAAATAAAGCTTGTAATAAGAGGAATATAAATATGCATAATGTAATTGTTGAATAGTTATACAATAAGAATATTTATAGAATATTAGTCCATTAATAGTCCTTGGAAGTTACCTGTAATTTAATCTTCACTAGGATATAACACCTCCCCCTTTTTTTTTGAAAATTCCAACTTTAGATTCTGATTTTAAAAAAAAGAATCATATGTGACTTTAAATCCCTCAACATTTTCCTCCTCCTCGAAATAATGTTGGGTCCTTATGGCTCCAAAATACAACTAGTAGGACTTTATTTAAACCATGTTTCTCGTATTGACTGGAGAAGCCACTAACAATGACTAGATGATGATGAACGACCTTTGACCTGAGTTCATTATTTTCAAATTCATTATGAATCTCGTTAGCAGATAATAAGTCATTAAGAAAGTCAACGTCTAACAAAATTAATTAGATTTTTGACCATCATTTGAAACAGCCGACATATTTTCTTCATTTTTATAAGAAATCTCATCAAAATTCTGTGCATTATTATAAGAACCCATATCTAGTACATTGTCATGAGAATTTAGATAATCCAGTTCAATATAAATTTCTGTCCTCCCAATTATTTGAGTAACTTTGGTACAATTGGGTTCATCGTGTTGCTCCAGTTATTTTCTGAATATGCGTCCCCATAGCTTTCTCGACTAAAATCACGTGGACCACAATTTTGTTCGAGCTGACGTTTATTTTCAGAGCTAGACAGGACCAAAAGTGTTTCATTTAATTCTGGACTCTGGGCTTCATCTACAGGATCTAGCTCTTGATCATCTGGTATTGTCACGACTTTATGAGCATTGAGCACAATATTTTCTTGCTGTGAGCCGGACACGTTACAATATACGTTCTGATTCAGGTATAAAAGGATTTGAATCATCCGCAGGATATGATTCAGAAATGCCATTACTGCATTACTGCACCATTATCTGCAACATAATAGATTTTTATTTTCTGGTTGAGTGAAAAGTCTGCCCAAAACTGTTTAAATAGTTGTTGTTGCAGGGCTAACATCTGCTGGTTCTGTTGTGTTGAAAGGCTAACATCTGCTGGTGCTGTAGCTGTAATATTAACTGCAACTGTTCTAAAGAAATCGACATTTTTTTACTGCCAATAATAATATTAACTCCAAAAATCACCGGCATTATTATAGCTAATTT